ATCCCGTGTCTGGTCGTGTTTACATTAGCAGAAATGTCAGATTTTTGGAAAATATTTTTCCATATTCTGTTCTTGCTGGTCCCACAGTGTCCTCTTCTTCTGCCTTTTCCCCTACCTCCCTAATTCTTTCCCCCAGCCGTGACCAGCCCTCACCAAGTTTCCCTTCCCACAACTTGCCTATTCCCGCACTGCCTGCTCCCTCTGTCCCTTCGCCCCCCACTCCCAGCAGCACGCAGGAACACAGCAGCCCTGCTGCTACTGTACCAGTTCACAGCCCACCCCATGACAGCCCCTCAGTGGACTTCGGTCCAGACCTCTCTCCCCCCCTGTACTGTAACTGACAGCCCCTCCATCACCCTCAACCATGCTTCACCTTCAGTTGCGCCTCCTACCACGGTTCCTCCGAGTTCTTCTCCCGTTGTGAATATTCATCCTATGCAAACCCGGTCCAAGTCCGGGATTTTTAAACCCAAAACCATTTTTAATTTAAGCACAGTTGTTCACACACCTGATCCCACTTCCTTTTCTGTTGCTAATAAACATCTTAAGTGGAGAGCTGCTATGGCAGAAGAATTTAATGCTCTTATTTCTAATCATACTTGGGATTTAGTTCCATTTGATGCTAATAAGAATGTGGTTGGGTCCAAATGGATTTATAAGACTAAGTATCTGGCTGATGGATCTGTTGATCGCTATAAGGCTCGCTTGGTTGCACAGGGGTTTAATCAGCAGGCAGGTATTGATTTTACTGAGACTTTTAGCCCTGTTGTTAAACCAACTACTGTTCGTCTTGTCCTTACCTTAGCAGTATCATTTGGTTGGCCCATACGTCAACTAGATGTCAAAAATGCTTTTCTTCATGGTCACCTTACGGAGGAGGTATATATGCGTCAGCCACCAGGTTTTGTTCATCCCCAGTTTCCTCATCACTTGTGTCGTCTTCGTAAAGCTATTTATGGTCTTAAACAAGCACCACGTGCTTGGTTTCATCGCTTTAGTAGTTTTCTTCTTTCTCATGGATTTTCATGCAGCCGGTCAGATAATTCTCTTTTTATTTTTCGGCGTCAGTCTGATATTATTTATCTTCTGTTATATGTTGATGATATTATAGTCACAGGCAATTCCCCAAAACTCGTTTCTCATTTTTTATCCCTTCTTGCTAAATGTTTTGCCATGAAGGATTTGGGGGATTTGCATTTTTTTCTGGGTATTCATGCGACTCGGACTTCGTCCGGTTTATTTCTTTCCCAGCATAAGTACATATCTGATCTACTTCTTCGATTTCACTTCCACACCTTAAAACCTGTTCGCTCTCCTCTTCCGAGTCGCACCAAACTCTCTATTACTGATGGGGAGCTTCTTGCAGATGCCACGGAGTACAGGAGTATGGTAGGTGCATTACAGTATTTAACTTTGACTAGGCCAGATATTACTTTTGCTGTACACTTGGTTTCTCAATTTATGCATGCCCCCCGTACTTCACATATGTTGGCTGTTAAGCGCATTTTCAGGTATCTACAGGGAACCTCTACGCATGGACTTTTTCTACAGGCTTCTCGTGGTCGCCCAGCTCTTATTGCTTATTCGGACGCTGACTGGGCTGGTTGCCCTGATACTGGTCGTTATACTTCAGGCTACGCTATTTTTCTAGGACCTAATCTCATTTCCTGGCGTTCCAAGAAGCAACCTACTGTTTCCAGATCTTCCACTGAGGCTGAATATCGCGCCGTTGCATTCACTGTTCAGGATACTCTACATGTTCGCTCAGTGTTGTTTGAGTTGGGCTTCCCCATTCGTGATCCTACTATGCTCTACTGTGATAATATTTCTGCATCATATCTTTCAGTTAATCCGATTCAACATGCGCGCAGTAAGCATATTAATATAGACTATCATTTTGTTCGTGAACGGGTGGCTCATGGAGATTTGAGTGTGAAATATGTTCCTACTCAGGCTCAGCTGGCAGATATTTTTACTAAGTGTTTGTCTCCCCAAAGATTTGTTCTTCTTCGTGACAATCTGCGCATTGTTTCACCTGCACAGCTTGAGGGGGTGTAATAGAGTAGATTTTATATTTATTTATTATTGGGGACTCTTATTGTAAATATGACATTTTATTCTATTATATATATCTGTCAGGGCTACCATCATGGTCAAGCCTGGTAATTACTTTCACACTATGATGGGTCATGTAACTATAACATAGTCACTGCAAATTAGAGGCAATTTAATAAGTATAAAGCTTATTAGTCACATTTTTTGGAAAGTCAAGAAAATCACTTTTTATCAATACCCCCACCTCAATAATATCAAGTCACTAAAAATGTTGCCTTAAAATTACCACTTCATTTTTCATATATAAAATATATATTTTTTACTAAAATTGATTATACTTTGTTGTAATAAAGCATTCTCCCAATGGAGAAAATATTTTAAAATATTAAAAGCGATGGTAGTTGTAATAAGCGATGGTTTCAGAATTAATATATCTACCTCACTAAAATCATGTCACTAAAACATGTTGCCCTAATGCCCCCACATTTTTCGGATGAAACGACAAAAATATAAATATGTCGGGAAAAAAAAGTAAACATGTACCTCGCTGAGATAGAGATTTTCATTTGCCTTTTTTGTATATCTTAATTACCAATTCCCATTTCAAATTAGGAAATAATTATTAAATGACAATATAAATCATCAAAAATTAAAAGAAATACATCCATATCATAAAATATCGCATTATACTATTTATTGATCCAAACTATTTTTTTGAAATATATACTCAAATTACCTTAATTAATTTAATTATTTTCTAAAAACCCGTGTCATTTTTAAATAGATACCATAAGTAGTAGTATTAAAATAAGATTATCTTTTTAAATTCAAAATATTCTCCAAAGAGTAGATACCATAAAAAACACACGCAATTTCAAGATAACTATTTTTTGAAATATTATTAATCATTTTAAATTTTAAAAATTACCCTGAAGATAAAACCCCTTAAAAATTAAAAGGCCAAAATGATTTTTTGTTGACACAATTGTAAAATATCTTAGTATTTGAAGTGTCAGAAAATATTTACTCATTTAATACTTTATTACTCCCTCAATAAAAGTCTCTCTTTTCTTTTTGGGTCGTCCCTAAATAAAAGTTTTTTTTTTGCTTATGTTGTAAACAAAACAGTGAAAAACAATATCAAACCGTGTCACATCATTAAAATGTGTGTAAAATGAATGAGGATCTTAATATGGGAACATAAGAAGCACCTTAATTACACTCATGCTATGTTAAGAAACAACAAATATTAAACGATTTAATTTAATTTCATTGACTTTGTAACAATCTCAATGACTCAATGTGTAGAGTGCAATAGAGCATATGTACGTTGTTGATGCTTCATTTGTCTGTACATTTACTTTTTTTTTAAATGTAATAACATACGGAGTACTACGTACCGTATATAATAAATTTTGTATATTTTGAGATAGCATGTGAAAATACAATCAAAACATTCATTTCCATAAAAATGAAATGAATGGAATTCATTAAAAAGAACCGTCGATGGAGGTCAGGGGAGGGATATTGGGGGAGCAGGTGAGGGGTCTGGGTGGCACTGGGCGGCATTGGGGCGGAGATGGGGAGGTCAGGTGGTGGCGGGGGCTGCGGTGGGGTTGGCAATGGGTGGGGCTTGGAAGCAGTGGGGGGTTGCTGGTGAGGGGGTGGGAGTGCTGGGGGAGCAGGTGAGGGGTCTAGGGATGCAAGGCAGGGGAGGGGGCTGGAGGAGAAGGTGAGGGGTGCTGAGGTGGGGTAAGGGGCAGTAGGGCGGTCTCATACTATGGAGGCGGTGTCGAGACGGCACAGTGACGATTTTCGGTACAGTTACATGTTTTATGGTGACAGTGACATCTTAAAGTGAAATGAAAATCGATAGTAACATTTCAAAAGTGATATGAAAGTCTGGTAGTGAAATAAAATCCGACAGTGACACCACGTGTTTCCGAATATGTGACCTTCTTAGTCACACTTTTGTCCTTTTGTAAAAAGTTTTAAAATTAGCTTCAAATTGGTAATATTCAAGGAAAAAGTCCTATTGAAATACGTTTATCTTTTAAATTCAAAACATTATCCAAAAAAGTAGATACCATAAAAAACACACGCAATTTCAAGATAACTATTTTTTGAAATATTTTTAATGTTTTTAAATTTTAAAAATTACCTTAAAGATAAAACCCCTTAAAAATTAAAAGGCCACAATGATTTTTTATCGACACAATTGTAAAATATCTTAGTATTTGAAGTGTAAGAAAATATTTACTCGTTTAATACGGTACTTTATTACTCCCTCAATAAAAGTCTCTCTTTGGCCTTCCCTAAATAAAATCCTTTTTCCTTGGGAGTTGGGATGTAAACACTATAAAAATGTATCACATCCTTAAAATGTGTGTAAAATGAATGAGGAACTTTAATTCTTCATATGGGAACTGAGGAAGTACCTTAATTGCGCTCATGCTATGACCTTAATTGCGCTCATGCTATGTTAAGAAACAACAAATATTAAACGATTTAATTCAATTTCATTGACTTTGTAACAATCTCAATGTGCAGAGAGCAATAGAGCATAATGTAAGTTATTGATGCTTCATTTGTCTGGTTGAGATAGTACGTGAAAATACAATCAAAACATTCATTCATTTCCATAACATGAAATGAATGGAATTCATTAAAAGGAACCGTCGATATAAAGAGATTGATGAGCAATTGAGCATAAATGTTGTATTGAGGGGATCCTAGATTGGAGAAGTTATGTTTAGAGCCAAAGTTCAATACCAATATCTGATGTTAAAATCTACCGCTCAATGATTTTTGCCTCAAAAAATCTTACGGGGTACGAATGATTTTTCCCAAAAAAAATCTTATCAATGATTCATACAAGAATGCAATGTCTATTAGCTTCACAAGCTTCATGCTCATTATTATTGTATTAATGGTTATTTATATATGTCGGGATCATCTAGTAACAATGATCATATAACTAACTTCATAAGAGAATTAAGGAATTCATGGGTGACACAGGTAACCATCTGCATTTGCTGTATGGAAACATGCACGAGGATTAATTTGACAAGAGTGTGACACCATTGCAACAAAACAAGACAAAATAGCAAAAAAATTTACACTAGCATCAGCATTTCTCTAAGAACAACACTGGATTAGCACACAGTTTTTTTCAACCAACTAAACAAGACAAAATAGCAAAAAATATAATACTAGCATCAGCATCAGCATTTTTCTAAGAACACCATACCCTCACAGTTTGATTTTACAAAGTACTAATCCACAACACGCATCAAACAGAGCGGACATCTACGAAATTACCTCCTCACACAGAGCATCAACCATCAATCTAGCCTGCAGTGCTACCAAATCTGCAACCTTCACGCAATGCGCAGCATGTTCTTCCCTTAGCTTGAGCCATTTCTCCTCAATCTCACCGGCCTGGGAACTCTGGATCAGACTGACTTTTTCCTTGAGCATATCTAATGTCTCCTCAGTGCTGAATGAATAATTTTCCTTATTGAAAGATCTAACCAAGCAAGGATACTTGGAATGAAAATCCCCACTGTCCTTACCCTTAGCAGCGGTCAGATTAGCAGCAGTCTGTACATCTTTCTCAACAGCGGAAATTTGGTCATCACCAGCAGTTTTTTCAACTTCTTCCCCTGGACGAGTCTTCGGCTTCTTTCTCTTCTTCTTCTTCTTCCTTTCTTTGAGGTCATGTGCAGTTGTCTTCACATCACTTGCTGCTTTCGGTGCATCCACAGTGTTGGTAGATTCAACAGTCTTGCTTTTCACCTCCCCGCTGGCAAAGCCTGCACCTGGACTTATAGCATCGGTGCTGCTGGCAGTTCCCCAAATCTTTGCTAACAGTTGATAAACCTGATACTCATAAGGCTGAGCAGAAGTAGGGAGGTCTCCCTTCTCATTGAGGGTCAAGAACTTCCTTTTGAGGCCCCTAACCTTATCCCTGGTCTGATTCTTGGAAAACGACCCCTCCAATCGATCGATAATGAAGACATGGAAAGCAGCATAATCTGCGTTGGGATCAGCCCCTTTTTGGGCCTTGAAGTCGATGATACCTTGGAGAATAGTAATCTGATCCTTGTCAGTCCACACTCGGTTGTGCGGCGGCGCAGACGTCTTAAGGAGGGCGTCTTCTTCCCCAGATCTGTTGTTCTGCTTGGAAGTGAGACGGGGCTGGACGGGTGCGGATGGTGAGCGTCGGCTTTCGTCGTCCGGCAAGGATTGCGGCGGTTTGGGAGCAGATTTATGCTTCGAACTACGCTTTCTTTTTCCTTGAGAGGCGGCGGCGGCATCGGGGTGGGGCTGACCTATTAATGGGGTAAGACGGTTTTTAGTTGCCATGGGAGGGGAACTCTGAAGGTGTGGTGTGGTGTGGGGCTGTGAAGGAAGATACTCCACCTATGAAGCACGGATACTTCCCTAGGGTAGCGTATCAGCGTATCCGATACGTTCCCGTATCCGATACTCTAAGATACCCGTACCGTACGTTCCCGGGCCGTATCTGCAATTTTTAAAAGTTTTCATTTTTTTTTGTAATTTTTTGAAAGTTTCCGATACTCGTATCCTGACGGATACCCGTATCAACTTTTTTTTTAAAAACAAATCCCAAAATTTACTTAATAAAATTCTAAAAAAATGAAAATCTAAAACTACATTTTACTTGGTAATCAAATAATGGGCCTATATGACTATATCCGAATTAAGTCATTAACTCATACTCCGAATTGGGTACTTGCACTTTTAATTTCAAGATTGTAGTTGTTAGACTTATTTCTCATTTTAAATTAATTACTTATTGAGTACATTTATATTTCGAGATACACTAGTGTATATGAGAAATATTCTGAATTTATTACTAAGTATCTTGAAAAAGGAAAATGCTTCAATGCAATGAATGAGTAGACATCATAGGATATTAGATGTATATATATATGTGTGTGTGTGTGTGTGTGTGTATATATATATATTCAAAAAAATCTATTTTTATATTTATAAATAGACCCCTATAACTTTTAATATTTGTAAATACACCCCCATAACTTTTAATATTTATAAATATGGCCCCGTATCCGTATCCTACTTTTTTTGGTTTTGACGTATCCCCGTACCCGTTTCCGCGTTTCCGCGTTTCCGCGTACCGGTATCGGTGCTACATAGTACTCCACTATATAACGCAAGCAAGCAAGCAAATACAGTACGCTAAGCCTCTGAAGATACTAGTGTTTCGGCGCGCAGTAAGATAGCATAGCTGCTCATCACTGCAGTGCAGTGTTAAATCACATCATCCTTTCTTATCTTTCACAATTTTGAATTTGTGCAGATTAACAAAACAAAAAGGAGCAATTCTTGATCTACCCAATTCTTGTTTTGTACAAAGACATTTTCGCATATAAATGAATTGGATGTATACATAAGTATAGAAAAGATCAGGTTCCTCCGGAGGGACGGGAGGGACCGTCCGGCCAAGGCCATCAGCGGTCCTTCCCGATAGAATTTTTTTGATGAAATTTTTTGAGCATGTTCCTCATCAAGTCTGCGTTGGATCTGTGGGCATACTAGAAAGGACCGCGTGAGGAATGAGACAATTAGACAAAAGGTGGGAGTAGCTCAGTAGCACCTATTGAATATAAGATGCGGGAGTCACGCCTACGGTGGTTTGGTCATGTGCATAGAAGACCGAGTGATGCATCTGTCAGACGAGTTGAGATGTGTGGAGAAGAGGTAGAGAAGAGAAGGAGAGGAAGGCCCAAACGGACGTGGGTTAGGGGAGTCAGAAGTGATATGCTTCTTCTTGGATTGGATGAGAGTATGGCTTTGGAGAGAGCAAAATGGAGGGCGGGTATTCGTGTGGAAGAGTGATCTTGTATCATCTTTTCTCCTCTTTTTTTCTTTTTTTTCTTTTTCTTTTATTTTTTTATCCTTATATATAAATATTACTTTATCCTTTTTATTTGATCTTTTATATGTATATTCATCTCTTTTATATTATCTTTTTCTATAATAGTTTATCTTGTTTATCTTTATTTTCGTTCTTTTCCTTTTGGTGATATCATATATCGATTCATGTTAGCCGACCCCAATATCGTTTGGGACTAAGGCTTGGATGTTGTTGTTGCTCATCAAGTCTAGTTTATCCATACGAAATTTCAGCTAAAAATTCAACCGGGAAGACACTCAAATGATTTTTGGAAGATAACTGCGTTTTATATGTATATAAACTGCGCAGTTAACTTCCAAAAATCATTTGACTGCCTTCCCGGTTGAATTTTCAGCTGAAATTTGGTATGGATAAACTAGACTTCATGAAGAACATGCTCAAAAAATTTCATTGAAAAATTCTACCGCGTAGGACCCCAAATGGCGACGGCCGGACGGCGGATCCTGTCCCTCCGCCCGGACAGGATCAGGCCTCTACATAAGTAATTAGAGGATTAAGTATTAATTCTATGTATAACAAGAATTCTTTACCCAAAAATCAAAGAGCCCGTTTGGTAGCACAAAAGTCGGCTGATTTGGCTGATTCTGCTGAAATTTATGAAGTTCTGGCTGAAATGGCTGCATTGGCTGATTCTGTTTATTTAAGAAAAAAATATTTTTTAAATATACTTTACTAATAAAATAAACAAAAAATTCTATGTAAAAATAGCTAAAATGGTCATCTACATTTAATTCAGCCAATATAGCCAGAAATGTAACTTCAATCTTACTTTTTCTGCTTATTACACAATTGAGCGCATAATAAAAAATTACGTGTTTGATGAAAAAGTTGGCTGAAAAAGCTTAAAAGTCGGAAAACAATGTTCCAAACAAAGAGCCCGTTTGGAGAACTCTGTTTTCGGCTTATCAGGCTTATCAGCCAGCTTTTTCACCAAACACGTAACTTTTACTTTCGCGCGCTGAATTGTGTAATAAGCCGAAAAAGTAAGGTTGGAGTTACTTTTCTGGCTGTATTGGCTGAAGTTACTGTAGAGGATCATTTTAGCTATTTTTACATATATTTTTTTCTTTAATTTATTAATAAAATATATTTTTAAAATATTTTTTTCTTAAATCAGCAGAATCAGCCAAAACAGCCACTCCGGCCAGAATATCATAAATTTCAGCAGAATCAGCCAAAACAGCCGATTTTGATGCTACCAAACGGGCTCAAACTCTAATCTCTTAACGTTGTCATAAAGTAGAGTTCCAATTTCTAGAGGGTGAACATTAACCCCAATTACTTTAATATTAAAAGGACCTTGACATGATGGGTTTGGTTTATAATGATGAATACTGCCGTTGTCTTCCCTTATGTACATATTCTCCCTCCGTGTGTAGATTGGTTGTACAAATGAAAATTGGAGGGGTGAGCAATACTGAATTAGACCGGTATGGTATTGGACCAATGAGTGGGGTTTAAAAAAATCTCAATTTTTTGTCCCGAATCGGATCGTACCAGTTCCAAACAATTTCATGACGGGTTCTCATAAAATGAGAACCAATAGCGGATCGAACCAGATCGAAGTATGATTTAATTATTTAAACGTGTACTAATATAGTTTAGGGAAAATGGAAACTAATAATCTAACCTTTTAGTGGTCTTCTTATAGTGTCCCACATTTTGATTATTCATGAATAATCCAACCTTTGCATCTCATCTTCATTCACTGGTCCCTGACCGGTTGATGATCTGCTATTCCAAGTTATTTTCTTATCTTTGTAAACCATTATACCATAAATCTCACCTTTCACAAAGATAATATTTTGTAAAGATAAGAAAATAACTTGGAATAATAGGTCATCAACCGGTCAGGGACCAGTGAATGAAGATGAGGTGCAAAGGTTGGATTATTCATGAATAATCAAAAGGTGGGACTATTGTAAGAAGACCGCTAAAAGGTTGGATTATTAATTTCCATTTTCCCTATAGTTTATTTGAAATTTAAGAATTATTACTCCATCTATCCCAAATTGATTTGCAATGTCAACATTTTTTGTCAACCAATGTTAATGTGAAGTCCCCCCTAATGATAATTAATACAATTTTTAATAATTAAAATTTACATATTTAGAAATCACATTAAAATCTCTTTAAAGTTGCACAATCCAAATTAGAATATACGAAGTGCATTTTTTAAGGCGAAAATAGAATATAATTAAAAGTGATATACTAGTGGAATGTCTCCATGGATTTCCGAACCTAGGCACGCCACTGTTAAGGTGTATGCCTGTGTATTGTCTTCCCTCGGAATTTGTTGGATTGTGCATTCGTCGAAGCAACTCGTCAAATTTTTTACAATGTCCAAATATGCCGTCATTTTTGCATCCTTAGCTGCATACAAACCGTTAATATGATTTACAATGAGAAAAGAGTCACAACATACCTATAGGATCTTTACTCCCATGTCCTTTGTGATGGTAAGTCCCATCATAAGTGCCTCGTACTTAGCTTCGTTGTTGGTAGCCTTGAAGTCGCAATGAATTGTTTGTGCTATGTTCCCCCCTTGTGGCGATTTCAATATGACTCCTAACCCTGCTCTTCGCATATTGATGCTCCGTCAGTATGCATAGTCCACTTTTGATTTGGAATTTCGTCAATTAAGTGGCAAGTTTCTTATTCCACTTCTATTTGCAATTTTGGACTAAAATCAGTCACAAATGGGTTAATATCTATGATTGCAATGCATTTCTCGGCTAGTATGTGATCTCATATGACCCCAATTGGATTGACCATTTTACAATCCTACCTGACAACTCAGGTTTCCTCATGATTGCTTTCATGGGATAGTTAGTTCGTTCACAAATGAGGTGGGATTCAAAATAAGGGTGTAATTTAAAGGAAACAGCGACTAAAGCAAGGGCTAATTTTTCTTAAAGTGTGTACCTTAATTCAGGCATGTTAGATGACTTACTTACGTAACATATTGGGAATTGAACTTCATCCTCTTCTCTTGTCAAGATTGTACTAACGGCGTGTTCTGACACGTCTAGGTGTAACTGAAGTGGTTCGTTGTCTTTGGGTTTGGACAACAATGAAGATGAACATATATATTTCTTTAACTATTGAAGTGCTTCTTCATGTCGTTCCGTCCACTCAAATCGTTTATTTTTTCTCAAAACGTCATAAAATAAACGACACTTCTACGACGATTTGGAAATGAAACAATTTAAAGCAGCCACTCTCCCCGTCAGTTTCTGGACATCTTTGACAGATTTCGGTGACCGGATGTCAAGTATGGCTTTGACTTGTTCCAGGTTGGCTTCAATTCCTCTCTCACTAACTATGTACCCCAAGAACTCTCCCGAGGGAAATTCAAAAGAACATTTGGCTGGATTGAGTTTCATGTTGTACTTCCTCGGGATGTCGAACGATATGGTTAAGTGTTTGACGTGGTCAGTTGTTGGTTTTG